GTATTGCAACTCCTCCCATTGCTGTGCTTCACATAACAGCTCATAATCTTCTGACTCACTTTCTTCTTCATATAGGTCAAAATCACTGTCAAAATAAATGTTAGTAAGTTTTGACAAAGCTAATGAAACACGCTTACCGTTTGTATCATATGCTTGTATAAACTTTCCATTCTTCATTCCTTCATAAACGCTCAAACTAACTTTACCCTTTCTCCCTCGTATCTGATAGAATGTATTTTCACGAGGAACGAAGAACAAATTCTTGAAGTCATGACCGTTGTAGTTTGTTATCTCAATAGTTTTCGTCATTTATATAAAAATAAACTTAAAAATTAATGATATCACCACCCTCACACGTATGAAAACATAGCGCAAAAATAAATTTAGGGTAGAAGGGTAGATCTAACCTCATTTCTACCCTCTTTTTTCACCCTGTTGAATTCATTGCTTTATAACTCTCTTCCTTGGTTTCTTTTTAGTTGCTTTCTTCACGTCTGTCTCCAACTTGACTGTCTTTCTTCTTCGTCCGTAATGATACCAGTTACTTCCACCAGTCAATGGGTCAAATGGTCGTTCATAAGGGTTTCCATACATTCCATAGGGACCATACGGAAGAACTACAGGTGGAGAAGAAACATTTTCTTTAGTTCCATCGAATCTATTTAAATGCATTGTTTCACCTTTCATCTGGTCATTAAAGTCTTTTGCGTGTTTTGCAAACTCGTCGTCCTTTCCTAAAGCATTTTCTGACTCAGTCGCAACCAAATTGGATGCTTTATTTATGAGCCCTATTTTATTTAATCTTAACTTCTTTGCAACCCAGCCTCCAATCTTCCCTTTATTTGCATCTAATGTCTTCGAAACCCTTCCTCCACTCATTTTATTTACTGCGTCATAAGCTCCAAGTGCTTTTGCTCCAAATGCTAATGCTTTTGTTCCCATTGCGCCTAAAGCTGCCCAAGCTACCATTTACACCATATTAAAATCATCTCTCTTCAATATTATCTCATAAAAGTTCTCGTTACTGGAGAAAGTCAATGAAACATAAGCGTTCTCACGGGCTTCGCCCTCACCGCTTTGCGGTCTATCTAACTTATTTCTTATATCATCTATACGCTTCAAAATGTCTGAACAATTGCTAACATCTTCTACAACAGTTATTTCATCATGAATGACCTTCAAGAACAAGCTCATTTAATATGCTATTAAAATCAGCTCAATAATGAGTCCATCCTTTCCATCTTTAGGTAGCACAACATCTTTCATTGAAGAAGGTTCGACAAGTCTTATGTTAAACTTACTGACAAAGTTTGTTATACTATAATGCTTCGGCGGCGAATACATATAGTTTGAAAGACATAATATAGATTCTTCAGCAAATTCACTTATACTGGATTTTATAACAATGTTCTCACGAGACCAAATACCACCAATTGACAATCTTGTAAGCAATCCTGCTGAACCTTCAACTGTAAACGTCGATGGTAACATTCCACGAAGGTCATCTATTGACATCGTTGAGTCACTGAATTTAAATATTTTCTTAAAGCAATCGTCATTATCTAACCATGCAATAGCTTTGAAGTTTTCATTCGAATATACATCTGCTTCATTAAATGTAAAACCTGACTTCTTTGCAGAGACGACTTTAAAATCTATTGAGTTTGTTTCAAAATTATATGCTATGGTAACTTCTGAAGGTAATGGGTGTCCTTCTGCTATAAGTTGTTCTCTCACTACCGTTTGAAGCTTTGTGTTAAAAACTTTCATGTCATCTCCTGTGTCTAGGTTCACATACACAGCAACAGGGAAACTATCTTGCTTCTTTGTTTCATCATTATACCTCAAAACATTAAAGTTCTTCAATAATATTGTCCTTCCTGCTGGAATACTTCTAACTTGTCTTATTTCAATAGCTTTCTCACCTCCTACATACTCTACCCAGTGTCTTGGATATTCATAAGTATACTGACTTTCTTGAATTTTGGTAGGTTTCATCATAACGTGTTCATAGTATATCTTTATACTCTTGTCAGTTAGACTCGGTGCTATGTTCTGAATATTTCTGACTTGCATTTTTAATGGAGATAAAATGAAGCATTTAATACATGACGTAGATGAAGACATGAATGAAACCACAGATAAACTTAACTCTTCTCTCATTCTTCCTTTCAGCAAAGATTATGAGTTCTGTTCAAATGGTGTGTATTTCTATTGTGGAAAGATGGGTTCAGGTAAGACATTTAACCTCATTCGTCATATACTCATAACAGAGCGTTTAGGAAACGACTCTTACTATGACCAAATCATTATATCAGCAACTTCAGACTCTATGGATTCAACAGCGAAAACATTTATGTCAAAAGTTCAAGCCTCTGTCGTTAAAGTTCCAGACAGTGAACTCATTGAATTTCTTCAACGTTACATTCGACGTAAGAGGAAATATTATGCCATCGTTGAATTTATACAGTCAGGAATGCAAAAGACTTCTGAGGAGATGGAAAGAATTATTGACAAACACCACTTACGTCAATACTCAGGAGTTTACGATATGAAACGACTTACAAACTACATTCTGTCAAAACTTTCAAAATACCCCTTCAAAAAATATCCTTCAAACACTCTTAGTTTGTGACGACTTCGCCGGAAAAGGTTTAGTTCAAAACCAGACTCACCATTAGCTAACATCATAACTAAAGTCAGACATTACCATTTAACTGTAGCAATACTTATGCAAACATGGCGTTTCTTGCTTTAAACATAAAACGTCTCATAACTGACTTCGTTATCTTTCAAGGTTTCTCACGCTATGATATTGAACTCATTTGGAAACAGTCAGGTATAACATTACCTTTTGAAGAAATTTGGGAAGCATATAAGTCTCTCATCTCTCCTCGTTCATACCTTGAGATTCATATCATGACTAATACCATTAAAGTCAAAAATATTCCATGGGAACGACCAACATTGTTTTAAAGTTTAACCTTCAATTGACTGATGGTAAACAAATTCCATGCATCTCTGTCGCCATTTCTGTTAATATTTTTGCTGTCATTCATATCATCCACTTCCCATCCGTTAGCTTTTGAGGATATGCGTTAGAATAGCTGTTCTTAAATGAAGGCTTTTCACCTTTGAGAGCATAAACTCTATAACTTTCTGCATACTTTATGTTTGAACCTCCTGAGCCATCATTGACATAAATTTTTATAGGCTTCCACCCTTTGTTCATGTTCCTGCTTCTTCCCTTAGCTCTTTTGTTCAGTAGTTCTACATCTTTATACACAGCACCTGTCTCAGTGAATTCAACAATATTTTCATTCGTTAGCTTTACATTCAAACCCTTGTCGAGTATATTGTTCATTTCATACATATAAAAGGTTTTTATTCTATATGAAATGAGAAGCAAATCCATCTTAGCTGGTGCCGTTAATGTTCCAATTGAACCAACATCAAATGTTGACTCACGAACGACAAACAATATTGTCATAAAGAACTATAGTTCAGAGTGTTTGAAAGAACCAGAACCAGAGCTGAAATCCGTGAATTTAAACACAGCTTCAAACGCTAACGCTACATCAGATGTTAAGTTAGAGTATCCACCACTGGACCAAATTCTTTCAAGAGAAGCCAACGACAACCCTTACACAAATGTTCAAACAAATCCTTCAGATAACGTAGACCATTACCTTCTTCAGTTATACCAAACAATTTTACTCAAAGACGATAAGAAGCTTTTGACAAATCTTATAAGTAAGAACCAAATAATTCTAACAAAGGACCTTGAAAATGTTATATCACGAATAACAGGAAACAATGTGTCATTGACTATCTCGACCCTGAAATCGAATGCTGTGGTCAAACGCCATATTCATGAAAATAGGTAACATCCGCATCATTGAAACACCAGGTACTCCAGGAGTTGAGTTTAAGTATAAATATTCGAACGAGTATACAAAACTATCTACTTACTATAAGCTTTGTTTGAAATATGTTTTAGTAAATTAAAGCAATTTGTAATATCTATCCAAAAACTTCTTCAACAGTATCGAACTCATCTTCATAATGCAAACCTAATCTTATTGACTTGGTGCAGTTTTCACTAACACAATATTTTTCTGTTCTCTTGACTGACATAACTAACTCATTTGTTTCATCAAACAGCAACAACCAAAGTTCATGACCTAATACATAACATTCATACTTTATATTTTTAGCTCTGAGTTCTCTTGTAAGCTGTTGCATTTAATATTTTCTAAAAAGTCAACTTCAACAGTCATTCGCACTGGTGCCTTCAGTTCTACAGGCTCTCCTTGAAAGTCAACAAGTCTGAATTGCATGTCTTTCAAATTATGAGGACTAATGCGAACCCATTTACCTAAATGAGTTGCTATGACAGGAACGTTTGGAATGAACATTGAATTGACTGCATAACAGAAGGATTTATATTCTACTGAACCTTTACTATTAACTCCTGAAATACCTGTGACATTAGCTATTTTTAGACTCAACGTACAAACAATTACCATAACATACGTATGGAACAGATTTCATCTCAATCGTTTTGTCAACACTTTTCAAAGGAAATGTCATATGGTATGCACCCAAAAGAAGTTGTACTCTATGACTCATTCGTGTTATCTTAAACTCCTTCGCATAACTGAACTTCAAAACTCCTGCAATAAGTTTAACATTCATTAAGTTTTCTTCGTTCTCCTTGTTTATTGTAGTATTTATGAGCGCATTTAACACTCCAGCTAATGTTTCCATCTTATATTCTACATTATTGTGAAATCTTATTTCGTGCTTCTTTCCATCTATTTCAAACTCCATGAAATCTGTTTCGTCAGTTATAACGAATGAAGCAATAGTATTAAAGTCAACAACTCTGAAAGCAAGCGCTTCATTCTGAAGACCTAAGTTTGTTTGTAGCTTTACTGTCCCGTATTCGTTTGGGTCTGTACTTTGCAAATAGAACAACATTTTATTCTCATTAAAATATGACTATTGCTGCATATGCGTATGAAACAAATGAAGCAAGAAGAGCACATGAACTAGTAAACGAAAACTCAACTTTAACCATTGAAGGCAATGATTTAGTCATTGACGATGGAAAAACTAAAAAAGTCATTGATTTCGATACTTTTAACACTTATGACCCATTCATTACAACAAGCAAGGTTCCCATCATAAATGATGGAACGGTGCAATATATAAATTCTACAGTAGATGCCTCATTAGTGAAAGTACTGAATGTTCTCATTGAATTGTTAAAGAGCTTTCGATTTGACGACAACATTAAATGCCTAAAGAATTTAGTCATGAATGAGAAACAAATTCTCGGCGTTGCTGGTAGCAGTAATGATGTACACCTTATGACATTAGAATATTATAACGAACATAAAGATGAACTGAAAGGAGAGAAGGGTGACACCGGACCTCAAGGACCACAAGGAATACAAGGACCTCAAGGCGAAAACGGTTTGGATGGAAAGGATGGAAAGGATGGAAAAACTGCTAAATCATGGATATGGGACCTTATAAATACTGGTTTAACAGCTGCTTCATATGGAGTTCTTCAATACCAAATCGGAAAGATATGGGCAGTACTTGGTGAAGAAGCTTTAGATGACGTTAAAAATGCTTTGAACTTCATTTCAAATGGTTCGGATACTATTAAAACTTTATCTGGTTGGATGCAAGAAACAAGGAGTCAAATAGATACTGTAAGACGTATAGCAAACAATGCACGTACGGGATTGGATACTTTACGAGAAGCACAAAATACACTAAAGGAAGCAAATGATATTCTTGGCTCAGTATCAGACATGCATGAAGATTGGCTTAAAGGTATTGACAAATCTTTAAAAAATCACAGTCAGTCTATTGCTGACTACAAGAAAAGTATAGATTTTTTACATAGTGCTATGGACGTACATGATGGAAGCATAAGGAACTTACTTAATGCTAACAATAACTTACCAGGAACTATTAAAGCATTTATAAAGTCCTTTGTAAAACCCGGTGCTCTAACATTTAGGTCTTTGGGAGCAAGAGCATTGAAGTCAAGAGATGCAGAAACTCCAGAAGAACCACCAAAACCAACAGCTAATGAAATATTGTTCGAATATTTTCCAAGGTACTCTGTTCTCATTGCATACATTCAAGAAATACTTAAGAAAGCAGACTTGACTTTAGGAGATGATGAAAGTTCTGTATATCTTTCGTTCCAGTTTCAAATAGCAGAACTTTTGAGACAGATATGCTTAATGTATGACAACATCTCTGATTTCACAAGATATGATGACGACCATGACCCCGAACACGGTGAAGAAGAAGTTTTACAAACATCCATTAAGACAGGAAAGGTTTTAACTCAAAGTCTCATTATTGACACCAAAGATGGCGAAGTGGACGTTCTTCAAGAGCTGAAGAAAAATACTTCTTCGGGAGGTGGTGGTAGGCATGAACTTGAAATAAATGAGATAGAAGAGAAATTAGCCGAAAAAGCAGATAAAGAACATAAACACAATATCTCCGATATAAATGAACTTCAAGCTACATTAAATAGTAAAGCAGATAAAAACCATGTTCATTATATAACTTCAGATGAACAGATTATAACGGACTACCATGGATATTTAACACAGGATGAAAAAGTGAAGACGGAAGATGTTAATGAAAGAAGATATAAATACATTCGTGCTAAAGGTTATGACATAAGCTGTACTGTACATTATGACACAGGTAAAGCGCTAGAAGCATTTAGTTATAACGATGAAATTTATGCCTCTACTTTCAATGTTAACGGTGTATTAGTTGAACCAAGATTTACTTTGAGAGTTAAGGCAAAAATAACTTTTGAAGATGCTATTAAAAGTAGAGCCGACAAAGATGAACTTGACGCAACGAACAAAGTTTTGAAATCTCATAAACACAATATCTCCGATATAAATGAACTTCAAGCTACATTAAATAGTAAAGCCGACAAAAATCATACACATAAATCCTTCACTACTGTTAGAGCAGACGACATAATATTGAACTATGATTTGGGTTCAAGTGCACCTTTAGAGAATCCGAGTACAAGCGTAAAAGATACTCTTAACAATTTAGATAAGAGTTGTAGGAATATCGAAGATCATGCCAGAAACTTTGAAGCATATGAACTACCATCAATGTTAGACAGTAAAGCCGACAAAAATCATACACATAAATCCTTCACTACTGTTAGAGCAGACGACATAATATTGAACTATGATTTGGGTTCAAGTGCACCTTTAGAGAATCCGAGTACAAGCGTAAAAGATACTCTTAACAATTTAGATAAGAGTTGTAGGAATATCGAAGATCATGCCAGAAACTTTGAAGCATATGAACTACCCGCAATGCTAGACAAGAAAGCAGACAAAACAGAGCTTCAAACATTAAAGACTCAGATTCTTGAAACATTATATCCTATAGGCTCTATTTATACGTCAATGAACTCAACAAATCCTTCAAAAGTTTTAGGTTTTGGTGCGTGGGAACAGATTGTAGACAAATTCTTATACTGTGCTAACTCTTCAAAGGAAACAGGAGGTTCAAAGAAAATTACTGAAGCAAACCTTCCACCGCACACTCATACAGGAACTACAAACTTTTCTGGTGACCATAGTCACTCATTAAGAGACCATCCATTATACAACTCAGAATATTATGCTGGCAATGATGTTTTATCTCCATCTTATAACAATTCAGCAAAAAAGACTTTTCGACCAACTGAACCAGGAGGAAATCATGTCCATACTTTCACAACAAATCCAACAGGCTCGGGTGCAGATTACATGCCACCATTTGTGACTGTATTTGCATGGTACCGCGTTCAATGAACGCGCTTGAGCCTGCTTTGCGGGCTTACCGTCTTGAATAAAATCTTTAACTTTACATAAATGAGCTTGAAAGAAGTATTCGAACAACATCCATGGAGGTCATTTAAGAAATTCAATGAAGCTGCAAAGAGTTGGGGATTTACTAACAGAGCTGAAGTGAAAAGGTTCTTTGACAAAAATGTTGTACATCAAACAAAAATAAACCCTTACGACTACTTTTTACCAATTTACTCCAACACTCCTGACGCATACCAATTTGACACTCTCATTCAAAGCAGAAAAGGAGGACATAAACCATTCCTCATCTTCATTAATGTTAACACTCGTAAAGCATATGCATATCCAATGAAAAATAAAGGAACTCGTGAAGTGTTAAGAGTTTTACAAAAGTTTGTAGCAGAACATAGCCCAAGTACTTTAACATCAGACCAAGACAGTGCATATCTCAGCAATGAAATCACAGATTTTCTCATTAAGCATAACATAACTCACTACACTACTGAAGACCATAACCATAACATACTCGGCATCATAAACCGCTTCATAAGAACGCTCAGAGATTTAAATCAAGAGCGAGACTTTACCGAAGAAACAATGAAACATTTTCTCGAAGTATATAATTCCTCAACACATTCTACAACAGGACATACACCAAATTCAATGACACAACAACAAGAAGAAAAGTATATACAAAAGAAACGAAGCCAAACACAAAATATCAGAAATTCAACACAATTTACCCTCATTCCTGGTACAAAAGTTCGTGTAGTTCTTGACGACAAACCGTTGACAAAGAAACGTTTAAGGTTAAGTCGAAATTATTATATCGTAGACTCTACGCAAGGTAATGGATATCTTATAAAAGCTGCCGACGACTCTATTGCGTTTTACCCTCGACATAAATTAGTTGAAAGTAGTAATGGCAAACTTGCTGAAACCATTGACGAAGCAAAGCGAGGAGTGGTTATTGAAATACTTGACTACAACATAAACGATGACACTTATAAAGTAAGATATGAAGGAGGTGTTGAAGATGTTATACCATCTAAGAACTTGAGAGAGTCAAAGCCAACACATCTGGGACCATTAGAGCGGGAGTACTGGAAAGACAAAAATATGCCAGAAAGAATAAGAAAATTCTTCTAAACTTTTTCATTAGATGTAAATCAGACATGAATGAGAACAGTCATGTATTATTAATGGTACCATTTATTTTAACATAAAGACGCAAAGCGGCGAGGACGAAGTCCATGACCAAAAATAATGTTTAGGGTAGATGGTTAGATCTACCCTCATTTCTACCCTCATTTCTACCCTCATTTTTTGTATTTGACGGGAATTAATTCTTGATTTCAGGGATTTTTTGACGAAGTGCAAATCTTCACTTCGTCAAAAATAACAGTTATCTACCCTCATTTCTACCCTCAGCCGCTAAGCAGCGAGACCCAAAGGGTCTTGAATTTTCATGAATTTCCTTAAGATGAAAAAAATAAAGTTAGTTTTATTTTTATTTATTTTTTTATTTTGTATAAAAGATATGATTTCAACAATCGGCACAACAACAATTCAAACAACAGCACCAAATTCGTTAGTCATGAATCCTACGTCAATGTTGGTAGAGATGAAAAGCTTTATTCCTTCTTCATATACTTTTGAAACAAAAATCCAGAAGATAAAGCAAGAACTGTTAACAAGTAATTTAGACTGTACCGCACAGGATGAAGAAAATGAAGAATATCTTTATGACATGCAGGACATTATTGACCATTTACCCAAATTGCCTGAAATCCAACAACAAAAGCTCACTATTCATGAATTCGATGAAATAGAAGTGAAACCAACTGACTCAGTAGAAATAAAGAAGTTCATACGTAAAGTAAATTATGAGTTTCTAGGATATCATTGCAACCATAAAGTTATGGACAAAGATTGCGACATGGTATATAAGAACATCTCTGACATATATAAATCCGAAGAATTTAAGACATACGACAACTTTGTTTCATTAGTTGCAGAATGTGTATGGCAGATAAGAGATAAAGATAGAAGAGGTAAGGTATGGAATGAACAGATAAAACCAACTGCTTTTGAGTTAAAGAAAACCATTGACGCCTTAGTTGTTCTAGCAGGTCAAATTTCAATGTATAACGCAAAAATGAATCCACAATGTTCTAAATTTAAAGCAGCAATGAGGAAATATAACTACTCCGTCAAAGAGATAGAACGTATGAGAAACGACTATGCTGACTTAAAGAAAGAAGTAGAGAAACCAGCAGAAGATAAAATGGACATGTTAGCATTTCTGAACAAAAACTATCCAACTGCTGACGATTTCCTATTATCTGACGTCAAGAAGAAGTATAAAGAAACCTTCGGCATTGTTAAAACATTCGATGTACTAAAAGAAGAAATAGAAGCTACAAAACTGTTTAGAATCTCACGAATTCATAACGTATATCATGTAAAATGTTTATAAAATAACTGGGGTAGAAATGAGGGTAGAAATGAGGTTAGATCTAACCATCTACCCTAAAATATATTTTTGCTGAATTCAACACAAAAATAATGAATTTCCTTAAGATAGAAAAAATAAAGTTAGTTTTATTTTTTTCTAACTTTTTATCTTGTATGTAAGAACAGAAATGTCAGTCGAAGCAAAAACATTCACTAACAAATCTAATGGCGAAACATTCACAAAAGGCACTTATAACGGTATTGAAGTCTTACGTAGAGACAAGGATGGTTATATAAATGCAACAAAGATGGCAAGAGAAGCAGGAAAGTTAAACCATTTAAACAGATTTCTCAATAGTGCTAAAATGCAGGAAATTCTTGAGTTTTGGTTGAAAGAATATGGTCGAGCCAAAAGTGGCTCAACCTCAAAACAAGCATTTTATGAGCTTACTAAGGGTGTTATAAATGAATTCAAAGGTATTTACATACATCCTGACTTCGTTCATTTTGTTGCTGAATGGTGCTCTGTAAAGTATGCATTTTATGTCAAAGATATTATGGACTCCATAGACAAGAAAGTTCATGAGAAGTTAGATGAAGAAGAACTCGAAGATACAGTAGAGAATGCTAAACCTTTGTTCGAACAAGAAGTTAGAAAAATGCGCGAAAAACAATTAGAACATGAACGTGAGATATGTTATGGTTATAGAGATTCTCCATACGAACTAGACCAATGGGAACAAGAAGATTTAAAGATAGAATTTAGAGAATATGAACTCGCTAAGATAGCATTAGAAACTGCAGAAAAGAAGTTAAAAGTTTGGGGTCGTTTTGTACAAAAATATTGTGAGTAAATGAACTCATTATTTTTGCTGAATTCGTGAGATTCTGAGTAAAATGGCATATGGCATGTGTCAAACCGTTGAGTTTTCACAAAATTCCAAAAATAACGTTTACCATGTAAAACGGTTATAAATAATGAGGGTAGAATTCGTGGTAGAAATTAGGTTAGATATACCCATCTACCCTAAAAATTATTTTTGCTGAATTCAGCACAAAATTCTGAGTAAAATGACATATGGCACGTGTCAAACCGTTGAGTTTTCACAAATTTTAAAAATTGCTGCGGAAAGTTCGTCAAAAAAGTGAAGGTTCCCGACGGTTTCAAACCGCCATACTTTACATGAAGATAGTTTACAATGTCAACTAAATATCATGTACGATAGAAACGGTTATGTAAAGTTTACATTTTGTAAAGTTTTGTCCTGATTCAAGACAAGTCTTGTATTTTTTCAGAACAAGTCTTGTATTTTTTCAAGACAAATCTTGTCCTGATTCAGAACAAGACTTGCACTTTTTAGTCAGTTTTTCTTGTAAAGTTCTCAAATTTGAGAACAATTGTCCTGATTCAAGACAAGTCTTGTATTTTTTCAGAACAAGTCTTGTATTTTTTCAAGACAAATCTTGTCCTGATTCAAGACAAGTCTTGCACTTTTTCAGAACAAGTCTTGTATTTTTTCAAGACAAATCTTGTCCTGATTCAAGACAAGTCTTGCACTTTTTCAGGAAATCCTATCGTCCAACTTTACAAATGTCACTTTTCAACATGATTGCATTTTGGTCGGGGGACAACTTTCTCTCATTTTGTCACTTTTCTATCGTTGTGTTTTGTCACTTTTCCCTCGGGGTGTGTGTCAGAAAATATCCAAAATCTTTATAGCCTCGTATCTCCTTCAATTCTTGACGGTTTGACATGTATGACACACCATTCAATTCAGAATTATGTGCTGAATCTTATGACCTTCATTTGTTCGTGACTTCTTTTCACATATGTAACCCTGAATTTTTAACATTTCTTTAACACAGAAAAATAAAGTTAGTTTTATTTTTATTTATTTTTTTATTTTGTATGTAAAGACAGTAATGTCAACATTAGAGAACACAACAACTGCTATCGTTCATGAAGCCATAAATGAAGAATACGAATACATACAATATAACAAACAACTTCGCCTCATTCGTTCGGTCAAAGATGACATGTACCAAATGCAAAGTATAATGAATGCTCTTCGTTCTACAAAGCAAGCATATCATTGGTTTGAAAACCAACAGACAAAAGAACTTTTAGAAGAATTTCCTCATATGATTGCTTCCCTCGGAAAACCGAGAGAAGAGATTCCGTACGAAAATCGCAAGAATTTGGCTCCTGGTTTGAAAGGTTATTATGTTCATAGACTTTTAGTAAACGCTGTAGCAATGTGGGCTTCACCTCGTTATGCTTGTTATATTTTCATGATGTTAGATGAACTATATAAAGCAGAACGTGGAGAGATGGAAAAGAAACTTCAAGCAAAAGATGAAGTCATTGAATCCAAAGACAAAAGCATACAGAAAAGAATACCGCGTTCAGTACCAAAAGGAAAGGAAAAGAGTTATAAGTATATGATATATACTGAAGAGTTGGAGAAAGAAGAAGATAAAGATATGGTTATGTTGCATTTAGTCAGAAGAAACAACAAAAGCTTTTACGACCTTGCTAAAATATA